CACAGACAGATTGTTTCGCTGTTTGACAGCTCATCATCTATGGCAGTCCAAAGAGCTTTGCAAAAAGACTTGAAAATGAAATCGTACGAGAAAAAACCTGTGATACACCTTGGTACATATATATATATATATATATATATATATATATATATATATATATATATATATATTGGTATCTCTAACGAGTGAACAGGGTGATTACTGGCGGGTCCGTCTACGAAACTCTGGAGTCGAGATGCTGAATATAATATCAATCAGCTAAGTAACAAAATTTATATTTATATTAATCCTATATCTATATATATATATATATATATATATATATATATATATATCTGAGTTTCAAGTAACCGGTTCGATTTTTTTTTTTCAAGAAGAATCCACTCTGATCATCATTAGGCAGGATTAAAGGTTTAGGGTTAATAACGAATAATTGAAAATAAAATAAAATAAGAAGGAATATGAAATGAAAAGTAAAAGATGAAATATTCAAATGAAATGACTTGAATGCTTGCAGTGAAATTAAGAAGCGGGTAGAAATTTCATTAATAATTAATAAAGTGTTGTTTGGTGGTGAGGATTATATCTACCCAATGGACTATCAGTAAGTAAGAAGCCTTACTGAGTTATTGGTTAAAAATACATTGAGAAGAAAGAAGAATATATTAAAAAAGAAAGTATTTTTTTTTATAATTAGGCCATATATATTTGTGTATGTGTGTGTGCATATGTGCGTGTGCGTACGAGTGTGTTGGATAAAATTTTAAAAAACATATGTTTATCGGGATGTTTCTGAATATGGACTTTAAGCCAAGATTGTCATTTTTATGGGGCAATGTTCTCATATATGTTTATCTTTAGGATAATCCAACATTTTGTCTTTTAACCGTGGCAGATACGCATGTCTCTAAAACACATAAAAAGTAACAAAAATAGGCAAAAAGTAAAACATTGTTCATCGTCACTTTCAAGGAAAATCTTGCCAAGTGATTGTAGATCGATAGCGAAACACATTGTTTTTATAGTTTCTTCTTCAGACAGTTTCCAGAATAATAAGATAAGACTCTTCGTAACGTTTTCAGTACAAACTCGCAATTCACGTATTGTAAACCAGTCGGTATATTTTAAAAGCTTCCTTTAATATATGTGAATTACCATGACCTCTTGGGAAAATAATGGAGTAATTTCCTATTGTATTCTCTACGATTTGAAATTCAGAGCAGTCCTAGATTTGCTATCATTTAAGACTACTGCAGCTCTTCTTAAACTTTTTTTCATCCATGACCCCTTTTTAAATGATGAGATTTTTCGCGATCCCAAGTATTAACCAACTACCCGGAAAATACATCCGTTGTCACTGCACTACGGTTATATATTGGGTGTTTGGGAAGTAACATAGAAACTGAAATTCAAGGGTTTGAATTTAATTTTCGCGATCCCGACATTTCGCTTCGCGATCCTTTTTGGAATCGCGACCCATAGTTTAAGAAGCGCTGTACTACAGATTCTAGTCCCTTTGTTATAAATGGGTGGCCTTTTTTTTACCTTTACTGACCCATCCACACACATACATACGCACTTGTAAAAACTCTCTGTTATAGAGTAGTTTCACAGTGGAGGCTTGTATTTCACTAAGTCGGTCCTAAAATAGGTTCGACGTACAAAACGTTAGGATCTTGATATAATAGTTAATGACGCAGCAATCTAGTTGTGATGGCTGATACTTTAATATCCGACTAACAGTCGTCCGACATCGACTGACTGACCAACTCGATATTTAGCCACCCCCCCCCCAAGAGGGCATCATGTGGCACAAGGCCGGTTTAACGTGGGATCTCCGATCCGATCAAAAATATGCCCATTGAACCCGTATAAACGGGTTCAGGGTCGGTTTACCTCCCCGAAAGTGAATCCGCCCTTCGGCGTAGCCTCTTTCGGGTTCCTCCCCGCCCGAAGGCAGAGAGTTCAACCGATCAGCCAGTCGACTGACTGACCAACTCACCGAGCGACTGCTACTACTACTCCTACTTATTATAGGTGGCAGAGTCTATTAACTATAGAATAGGTGTGTTCCACTATAACACTCTCCCATCCCCAAAATATATGCATTGAAAGCTTTCGAAGAACAAACGCTACAGTGAGAACACTTGATTTTCGGGATTCACGGAAGAAACATATTCACCAGTAAACATGTTATTCCTTGCCTTCTACATTAATTAAACATGTTATTCCTTGCCTTCTACATTAATTTATCTCTTCTTTTTTTTTTTTTTTTTTTTTTGCCTTCATTCAACCAATATCAGAAAGATTCATGTATTTTCATTTAGTCTTATATGTGTTATTTAAAATTTTGTTCTCCTGTTTATGCAGACTTATATGCCAATATTTTAAGATCGACCTAGACTTGACTTCTTTTTGTTGACTATCAGTTTTAGTTTAACCTAAATAAATTAAACGAAGATTAACTTTCCGCATCGGTCTTATTTTGCACTGTTTACTTTCGTTTTTGTCACAGCGTGACACCCTTTCAACAATTTAATCGATAGTTGGTGATAATTAGAAAAGATGGGACCATGGCTTTCTCAAAAGTATTAGTGTGAAAGTGATCGTAATAGGTTACTCTGGAACTTGAAATTAGATCGCTGATTTTAATTTCCATATCGAGAAACAAAAGGCCATTACCAGCCAAGATAAGTAAATTTAAATCATCAGATCGTCTAAAGTAATTTGTGGACCTAGATTTGGATGTCTACTGTAGTGAGTAGTATAATTTCGCACACCAGCTAGTGTAATTAATGAAATCCTCATTGTCCTATTCAAACCTTGTACCAGACTTAACTGTTTCGGAATAAGTTCTTTTAGAATTATTAACGTATGCATATCTCTAATAAAATAACGAAACGCATATAAACGTGGTTTCAAAAACTAGGATTTCGTAGCACATTTCCTAACTGATTCCAGTCTTGAATGAGAGTCAATAGACTGTTCAGCGAAGGTTCTCAGAAATGAGTTAATTTTATTTTATTTTATTGGTTGATAGGTTCATCTGAACGCTAATCATGTTGAACTAACACTCGACCGATCTTAAAACGCCGTGTTCGAGCAAAAAAATATTCGCCAGAAGCCTGACGAATCATTTCAGACATCGTGGAATCTAATTTACAGAGCTTCAAACAAAATTTGATGCATCTACTTCAATTTTTAAGCCATCATAACGTGAAAAAAAAAACATCATTTAATAATTGAACACAAGTAGATAGCACGAAGTAGCGTAGAAGTTATCGGCTCGTTAAGTGGGATTGACACGTTGAGTTCAAATTACAACCGCGCACGTAGCACACAATATCCTTGGAAAGGTATAAATTTATTTTTTCTAACCTTAGTTACGGGTTAATAGTAGGGCAGATTGAGCCTTATAGCCGTGTGTTTTTATGATAGAGACGCTTGGTGTGTGTGTGTTTGTGTACACATACATGCACGCGTGTTTACTATTTGTGTCCCTAAAAAGAAGAAAATTAGCATAGATGTTTTTCTCCTATATGCAAAATGGACGAAAATCGATAAAGGACAATGATGTTAAGAGAGAAAGTGCCGAGTACAAGAGTAAGATATATATCTGTAATTAGCTGTATTGACATTGATAACCTATTCATGAAGGTATTATTTATGCAGAAGAGATATCCATAAATTCATTGAACAAGCAAAAATTTTACCGGCTATTTGTGCTTAGAGACGACATAACCAAGGAATAAGATTGATTCCTGTTGGGTTAGAGAAACATATGAAATCGAAATCAAGTGCAAATGTTTTATTTGATTTATTTTTAAACTTACAAGCGCAGTTTTTGAATAATTATCGTTTGTCTAATTATGTGCTTACCTGACTCTGCGTATGCGATGTGAAAATACAAATGTATGCTTTCATTGCTTTGTGTGTTTATTCGTGCATATATATATATATATATATATATATATATATATATATATATATATATATATATATATATATTGTGTGTGTGTGTGTGTGTGTGCGCGCGTGTGTAGACACATAAATCTCTCTTTGCGAGGAAGAGAACAGAAAAACCTGAGTCAGACAAAAAACAAAATGAAATGATAAGCGAAAGCAGTTTTTCGAACTGATGAAGACACAAATTAGAAGCCATGATTCACTATCCAGGGGCGCCACCTGCCGGGCATTCCAAAATTGTTGACTGGTCGTCATAAGAACTGATAACTGAAAATGAAATACAAACGAATATGAAATGAAAAGAAAAAGAGCAGATAGATGCTATATTCAAGTTCAGGCATACGAAAATAGAAGTGAGTTGAACTTACTCTCATAAAAAAGTAAACATTATTATAGATTGTTTTAAAGACTTTGTTTGTTGTTATTTGTACCGAAACAAAATAACCTCCCAATTTGTTGGTCGCAACCATTTGAGGTTTAATGAGAGTAAGCAATTCATAATTTATATAATAAAAGAAGACCTGATTGTCTGTCCGTCTCACACTGTTCTTGTACGATTTTGCATGCGTTTGTATAATGTATATGCGGATGTGTTGTACATAAGTGACTTACATGTGTTTGTTCCATTTAACGTACACGCAGGCACAAGCATATACATACACACTTATTATTTGACTGAAAGATGACATTGGAATAATACATTCCTGAGTTGAGCAATAAAATCATAAAGTTAGAGAGAAGAAAAAAAGTTACTTTTTTCGTCATAAAATTAATATAATTATTGAGATTTTATTCGGTAATAAATATTTGGGGGTGTTATTGAATTAAAATATAGCTGAGTACATGCAAATTTGCATATACACAATTTGAATGCAATTGAAATGAAAATCTCGGTTGCGAATCATATTTCCCCATTTTGTCTGCCAACAAGCCCTGGGTAACAGGAAATGAGTATAACCCGAAATATGTGGACCTTTGAAGTCATTTTTATGACTCCTGTATAAAAACTAAACTGTCAGCGAAGCGATAGGTACCGAATTAGCATAATAATAAAAGAAAATAATAAAAGAAAATAATAAAAGAAAATAATAAAAGAAAATAATAAAAGAAAATAATAAAAGAAAATAATAAAAGAAAATAATAAAAGAAAATAATAAAAGAAAATAATAAAAGAAAATAATAAAAGAAAATAATAAAAGAAAATAATAAAAGAAAATAATAAAAGAAAATAATAAAAGAAAATAATAAAAGAAAACGGCAAATTGAACTGTTCCTTTAAATGTTTCTTCTTCGTGTTAAAAACGTTCGTATAACATTGTGCAGGTTTAACAAAATTCAATTAGAATAAATTTGTTCTTTACGAGGTTCTCTATAAATGTGTTAAATTGACCCCAACAAATCAATTCTGTTGATTTACGACGCTTAGTATGGATAGATTTTTAAAAAATAACAAGAAATGAAGCTATCGAATTTGGCCTTCCTCCGACCTTCATCCATATTCATTGTGTTTTAAGCGGGGATAAATATGGAAATAAAAAATAAATAAATATAGCAACACGCTATTTTCACAAAAAGAAATGGATGTAATTTACTCAGACATTGATACATTGAAAGTATTACGATCTACGAATATCTCATACGACCGGATATTTCCTTTTATCGTTTGAAACACTGAAACAATAACAATGGAATGCAGAAATCTTAAAAAAATAAATTAATATATAAATGGATTACTAAAAATAAAAAGATGAGTTGAAATTAGTTAAAATATAAAATATAACGACAACGTTAAAGGAAAAGCCAAGCTTTCATACGCTTGACGTGAATCACGTTTTATCTCGTTTGTATCTCCCTAATGTAAATTTTGTCGAATTAAAATCCATTATATATATATATATATATATATATATATATATATATATTAAGACATTTTTTATGTTTATACATTCTTTTTATAAATACAAATATTTAAGTAAATGCTCTGTTTATAATAAACAATATTAAACAACATTTACTGGCCTGAATGTCCAAGAAATTTTCATAGAAAATATTCGTCCTCCGACAGGAATCAAACCTGTATCCTATACGGAACCGTCATATGCCTGACGTGCCTTTAACCGATTGGGCCACAGAGGAGCGTTCCGTTAGCAAGGTCGATTTTACTGTCTTTAAACTACAATATTCCATAATTCTCTCATTTACATTCATATCTGCTCATGGCGTATCCAAATGTCGACAAATGACGTTGCACGTTATGAAATGGACAAAGTCCGACAATTATTTTAAGACATTTTTATGTTTAAACATGTTTTATAGATACAAATATTTAAGTAAATGCTCTGTTTATAATAAACAGTATTAAACAACATTTACCGGCCTGAATGTCCGAGAAATTTTCATAAATAAAAAATAATTGTCGAAATTGTCCATTTCATAATGTGTGACGTTTGGAGATATATATATAAAATATTTTTTAATAATTTTAGAGGGAAAAATATGACAAAGTAAAATGTTTTCATGGCATTCGTTTTCGTCCTTTAAGGCTTCAGAGAATTCAATTGATGTTTACATTGAAGCGACAATACATGCATATAAAGAAAAGGGTACACTGAGAATTTTAAATGCAAATGTTTGTTTTTCTTATTATGTGTCTTGGGTATATAATCTAGCCAATTTGATTTAGATCCTTTTTCTTTTTGTTTGTTTACATCCCATTTGTTGATGCGACTGCATATACTTATGAAAGAAAGGGGACACTGATAATTTTGAGAAATTTTTCACACCTCTCGTCTAAAACAATAAAAGACTTAATTAATACAAAATAATAATAATAAGGTTACACGTAAATAAAGAATTAACACTATCACCTGTAATAGTTGTCATGGGAAATACATGGGAGAAACCTCAAGTAATTCAAATAAAAGATTATATAAACAGAAAAGGTATCTTTTATGAAACAACACACGGACTACATTATTTTATTTTAAAAAATGTTACTCTAATTAAAACAGAAAACAATTTACCAAGACGAAAATGTTTTAACATTTTTTAATCGCTAGATCATCCACAGTAAATCTGCATCAGGTTCTTTCAATGTTTTACCATATTCTTTGCAAACCTTTTATTATCCCAATGTGAGATGCTAAATTTTTTTTCATCTAAACAAAAGCCATTTCAGAAATCTAATATAGCACCTTTCTTTACCGATTTTAGGAAATTGGCCACTTTGTCATTTAATAACGGAAGTGGTGGAAATATAAACAAAAAGAAAAATAATCTAAATGAAATCGGCTAGATTATATACTTAAAACATATTTAAAAAAAACAAACATTTACATTTAAAAGTCTCAGCGTCCACTTTCCTTCGTGCGCATGTGCAGTCGCTTCAGCGCAAACATCAATTTAGTCTGATGAAGTCCTAAAGTCCGAAACTGGTCACACGAATACTTTTCCCACTTTGTCATACATATATATATATATATATATATATATATATATATATATATATATATATATATATATATTAAACAATAAAAAATGTTAAAAAAATTAAAATGTCAGACACACTGGCTTGGATATTAATATTTTTTGTTTTATTATTTAAATTAGGTTCCTCGACTAGTTTTGGTTAGCATGGCCTTCACCAGGAGAAAAAAATCCCTGCTTGTGAACTACAGGAGTGGATGACCCTCTCTGAAGAAAGTGAACTTTGTAGTTTTCATTTGTTTTTTTTTTTATCGTTAATTTTGGTCAGTTTTTTATTATTTAAACGGAACCTTTCACGTTTTTTTTTAAATAGAGGCTGGGAGACTCATGACTCTCAGAATTCCCTCTGTCATTTTGACAGCTTTATTGGTTGCTGAGAAGGGGATGTGTGTGCGTATGTAATCTTTTAGTTTCTTGGGAGTGTCTGTGTATATATTTGTGTGAGTGTGTGTACGTGGGAGACCTCAACATCTCTGCAAGCATGTCTGTCTAGTGTGGTTGAGAAATGTGGTGGGGGCTGATATATATGCGTGTGTGCGCATGCGTATGTGTGTGTGTTGTTGTTGTTGTTCTATTTACCAGATAGCTACGTGTTTCGGTGGTTATTCTTACCTTCCAAATAAATATTTAACTTTAAGATTAATATTAGTCGTAAAACTGTCATATCCGTTTCTCGCGAAAGCACATTATTTATTTAAAATTTTAGGATATAACCATTCGATTTGATTAATGAAATGTTACATGATTTTTAAACAAAATATGCACGTTTAAAATTTTTCATTTCAACTTACATTTCTTCCAACCAAAAAGCTATTTTTATTGAGATGCTGAAATTTTTTCATCCAAACAAAAACCATTTCAGAAATCTAATATAGCTCCTTTCTTTACCGATTGGCCCTGTTCTGGCATCTCGTCTACAGTCGCTCTGTCACAGACGCGTATTCCTTTCTCTCTGTCTTTTTTACAAATTCTTTCATGGCAATTGCTGAGGAGCTGCATTCGCTGGTTAACAGACTTCATGAATTCAAGCGTTTTATGAGGCTGGCATCCCGCTCTCACCCTTTCACTGTCGAAACTATTAAATGTAGTCGTCTCTTCTACTCCAGTAGCTTCATGTCTCGCACCTCTCGCCTGTGGAACTCCCTTCCCTATTCCAGTTTCCCTGATAGCTATAATCTCCAACTATTCAAATGTGATGTCAATCAGTTGCCTTGATCTATCCACTATCCTTCTCCTCATCCTTTCCTCTATCACTCCTATCTGATCTTGGTCCAAATCTTCTGTAACCCCTTGCGTCCTAGTGGCTTCCCGCCTTGCTTGGGGTGAAACGCTTAAAAAAAAAATACGTTATGCAGGTTGCTACGAATAAGAGACATATACAGGTAAAAAAAAAAAAGTCGCCAAGGAGTATGAAAGTTTAATAAGCTTTTTGTTTATTAGCAATTTTTAGTTTCCTTTCGTGTATTTTATAAAGGAGCCATCGGAAATTAATCCTGCAAAAATATCAAACTGAAAAACAAACACAAAATAGTGAAATCTTTATACGAATACCAAGGACCAATAATTCAAACTCAACGAGCATATCGTCGCCATTACGGTGTGACAGATTCTCCATGTTTTGAGAGTAAAGGTTCAGTAAGTGGCCTTCCACAATGTGGTACACCTCGTTCAGTTAGAAACGATGGACTAATTGAGCGAGTGACTATCGAAAAACATCCGTGCGCATCAACTCGAAGCCAGTCTCAACAGGTTTAGATCTCTCGGGCATTACTGCAACGAATTTTTAAATGCATCAACCTATTTCCGTACAAGATGGAGCAGCAACATACAAGGGACACAATACAGCTTCTCAGGCAAATTTTGAGGAAAAGAATAATTTCCCACGTTTGTGGCATAAACTAGCCACCACGTTTCTCGGATCTGACAAACTCTTAGTTTTTCCCATGTGGCTATCCCAAAGCAAAGTCTTATATCACCAAACTGCAGACTCTCAAAAACTGAAGGTCAACATTCAAACAGACATCGAAGTTCTGGAGCCTGAAACACTGAGGGCTGTGATCGAAAACGCCTTAGAAATTGTACGTTCGTGAGAAACTGAAATAGATGCCCATTTATTTCTATAGTTTTCTATACAGGGTGTCCCAGAAGTCGCGCACCATCCAGATTTTTCTTTAAAAACACGCCTTTATTGATCATAATCATAACAGATGCTCAAATTGTGCACCCTTTGCAATAAAACAAGTATCAATTCTCTTCATCAAACTCTCTTTCACTCTCCTGTGGGTTTCACACCTTTGTTTACTCTTTCATTGCGACGAGGTTGGTGCGCGACTTCTGGGACACCCTGTATATTTCTATGTTATTGTGAATTAAATTTAAAAAATAAAGGAGTTATTTAATTTTGAAATCCCTTGGTAACTTTTGGGACACCCTGTACTTTCGCATCCATGTGCACATAATCGGGCATAAAATCAGAATCCAGTTTTACATACCCGTTAAAATGAATCCCAAAGTTTGGGATCCATTTCAGCATTATACTTTCATTGTAAACTGAATCCTCTTTTAAGAATCATTCACCTGATCCCACATTAAAACTTAATATTTCTTGGAAAAAGCAATGAATGTCATATTGGAACAGAATAAAGTTTACAAGAAAAATGAATTATTTTATAAATATTATAACAAATATGTATATTTATTATATAACAAATTTTTAACACGAAAATTAAGCAAATTTTTTATTAACAAGGACTATAAACATTCTTAGTCATATATTCCATCTATTTCAACTTGATATTAGAAGTTATGCAGACGACTTTTCTGGACGGCATATATCCAGCAGTTTCTTATAAATGAACTGACTATACACTATAAATTATATTCATTTTACTCAATTCTACATATTCGTTTTCAGCTTAAAAAATTGTCCAAATACGATGATCATATAACAATATCCCCAAGGAACATTGATTATGAGAAATTAATTTAACAAATGACGAGAAAAAGCTTCTTTCTCATATTTTTCAGTCACGTAGACAGATATGAAATTAAAAATCCGATAATTTGATTAGTTGTTGGTAAGAGGCGAGTTAAGATCTTGAAATTCGATCTAATATATATGGATTTAGTTTCGTCAGATTGCTAATCATAATATTAGTTTCTGATGCTATGAATAAATCTCATGGAAAAACTAGGAAACAAATTTTAATTAAGGAATTAATGTCTTTAACAATTTATTTTCAATAAATTTGCTTTTTGCTTCCTGTGGGAGAAGAAATTTTATTGAAACATTCTTGAGGCAATTTTGCATGTACACAGCAATTTCTATATTATTAGGGCCCAATGAGAATAAATGAGTGAAGAAAGACTTGATAATTAAAGCCTGTGTCTGGTTTAGAAAACATTGGATTACAATAGAGTTAATAACAACGAACAATGAATTCATTGATATATAAGATGGCAGATCAATATGGTTGTAGCCAATTTCATCATTATTAGATGAATTTAGATTTTTGGAGAAAGGCTGGGTTAAGTGAATTGGCAAAAAGCATATGTTGAAAAGTTACATATATGCCGTGTAAAATAAATGCGTTTTCATCATTAAGTTGAGACCTATTGATGCGTTGATGTATATCTACCTCCCCCACATCTCTCTCTCTCTCTCTCTCTATATATATATATATATATATATATATATATATATATATAATAAAAAAAGGCTCAAACACTAATATCCTATGGTTTATAATTTATTATATTGGAATCGTAATCACGATCCAATACATCAGGCCTACAAATTCAAAAAGAAATCGGAAAATACGGGTATAAAAAATAAAATTTTAGTGAGTGTATTTGTTGTGGGAGAAGGAAAAAAGTGTAAGAGGAAATGTCTGAAAGCTCTAGAGAGAGGTGTAACAGAAGAAAAAAAAACAGGAAGGCCCTAAAAGGTGAAGGTGGGGATTAAAATTTAACAGAGAGAAGTTTTAAAGAGAGAAGTTAAATAACGGTTTAAATGAGTGAGATACAGATAAATATGAATTATTTTTCCATGCATAATTCGCTACCAATTCGCTGACCTAAATTAAAATAAAAAAAAAACAGACATCGGAAACGTGTGGATACATTTGTGGTGACACTACGCACAATACAAAACGATATGATCTAAACTTAAAATCCAGAAGATATGAGAGAGAGAGGAAAAAAAAGGGGGGGAGGACTAAAAACAAAGGGCATTTATAAGAGAACTGATGTGTAATCAAGAAAATTTGACAAAGCAAGTAATATCACCTACAGGTTACAAATTTAACATAAACATATAAAAATTAACGAATATTTAATCTAGTAAGAACCTACTATTTATATGCCCAAAAACACATACATAGATACACACATATTCGTTTTTAGTTTGCTCCCACATCTCTTTTTTAAATCTGTAAATATAATAACAACATTCGTTAAATTCTACAAACGTTTCCCTAATTTTAGAAGAATTAACAACATAATGTAAAAATAATAAAATATTTCAGAAATAACAAATAATTGTTTAAAAAATCATTTTTCATCGAAATATCTTTTTACTTTCAAACAATATTGTCCAAGTTCATTAAAATAAATAGAAGCAATTCAAAGCTTTTGAAATTAAACAATATTTTTGTTTTATTGAGTTTTGCATGTTACAATTCAGAAATGATTTTCAGGTAGAGGTGGTCAAACTGAAAAAACAAAAAAAACCTGATTTGGTTTTCTCAAAGACTTGTGCTTTTAACTAATATAATCACTAATCTTCCCAAAATTGAAATTATAGAGTTTCCGTTCAATTAGTTATGTTAATACATATGAAAAACAAAATTGCCATGACTTTAAAAAAGAAAAACATATTTATAAGTTCTATCATTTGTGAATAGTTTCTGAAAGTTTCATTAAAATCCGGCAATTATTTTTATTTTTCAAAATTAATGTTTGTCATACAGAAAAAAAATGTGCTAATATTTTATATGTTATTTTACTAGTTCCGGTGACACAAAGAAAAACAAGGTATTTTAATCAAA